TAACCAAAATTTTGAACGTTCTAAAAAGGATAAAAAAATATAATAAAAATAACCAAAAATGATTACGAGCAATTCAGAATTATTCATAACCATTTTTGATTCTCACCAGTCGTAGTGCAATTAAATGCACTGAAACGAAGTTGCATCTTTGTAACGAGTAAATTGTTTTTGTCTACATGAAAAAATTATAATAAATAATATATATATTTTCTCCATTTCTCAGAATCTCTTTTTATTTAAATCGGGAAAACTTTAAAAACTTTTTACGATATTAAAAGAAAGATAACCTGTTTTCGTTTATATACTCTCTGTTTTATTTAAAAAGAAAAATATAAAAAAATACATTGTACTTTTAATTGATAATTTGTCTGTTTTTTTTTTTTTTTGTTAATATTTATTTCAATTCTAACAAGTGAGGGGTCATAAATTATTATGTCGCCAAGATCACTGACTAACATTTTAATCGGTTAGGCTATTATCTAATATTTGTTTCGAGTAAATTCTTCTCTGAAACACCAAATAAATACCAAAGTGACGATACCAGACACAATAGGCGTCACGTGATCTTTTCAAAACCAGAAAACACTACAAACAATGTTTTGACATACTGACGCCGATAAAAAAATGTCTGACGCGCTAGTGACAGCCAACATCGATGATATATGATTGGATTCTGAGAACAGGCTGTACACCTTTCGACTGTTTGTTTGTGAACGACTAGATGGACAAGAATTCTATGAGTTGAATCGCTTTGTAAACATTGTATAACAATATGTTCAATAAGATCAAAGAGGACGATGGCTGGTTTGACCAAGAGACACATATATTTGATATGATGTGACTAGCGAAATGCATGTGAGCAAACAGGTGGGTGTCGCGAATCACTGAGCCAACTTAGTACATGTAATGTGCTGATGTAGATTTAGTCAAAAATTTCATAAAGCGGCCAGAAATCGTTTGGTAAAACCATCCAGTTTTGGGTCATTCTTTATTATCCTACGGTTGGTAGTGAAGATTTAAGATAAAGAAAGCTTATTTTTTATTCGATGAGGAAGATTTGAAATAAAGGAGACCTTTGTTCGATCGATGTTTCTCTTTCCCCCAAAGATATTTCTTAATCGGTATCACACCATGCAAGGAAGTAAAGCCAGTAAGACAGAAGGAGTTACCCGGTATGGAAGAATTAGAAAAAAAAAGTAACATTAATAATGAGCGGGAAGAAGAAATCGTAATCAGGAGGACAGTGGACAGCGATTGACATAGAATTTTTGCAGATTAAAGTCGGCTGAAAAACACGGAGCCGGAAAGGGAGTTTCACAAGCGAGAAGTGTGAGAAAAGAAACTGTTAGTATAGAATTTACGGCTACATCTAACCAGCTCAACTGTAAATTGATGAGATCTTGACGCCAGTATAGTACTGCGCTTAAATTCATAAAGTCTAGGTACCGTAGGGAAGGGCGATATTTATTTCCACTTCAAATACAGAAAATGTGGCACAAGGCCAAAAATGGGGAATGGGGGAAAGGACGGTCTTTTTCCGTCTTAAATTTAAACTTAGCTAGCCACAAACACTGACCCAAACATACCACAGTAATCCTAACATCAAAACAACGCATTCTTATTTACCCTTCTTATTACATTCACCATAATACCTCATTGTCTCTATGAAAATCCTAGCTTGTCCCCATATGTACAATTCATTGTCTGTGGAGGGATAGGAATAAAACAGCCCCAATGAGTATTTACAATATGAATACAAATCTATTTACAAGAAACTAAACAAGATAATGTTATTAATAAACCCCTTCACAATCATTAAATGTGGCAGAAACATCAGTTCACTGGACGAAATAAACGCGGGACTTTAATAATATAAAAAATTCATAGCGAAGAGCTCATTTGAACAATAACCATGAAAGGTTTTATAGAAAAGACATAGAGAGGCACCCTTACGGCGCTGGGAAAGTGACTGAAGCCGAGCTACCAGTTCATGACCAATAATATTGCTGATTCTTCTTTGGATTTTATTAAGAAGCTCAAGGTAAATAGTAGGGGTACTGGACGACATATGGCAGCAATATTCTAAGCATGGGAGAGTGGTAAACTTATAGATATATAAAATGGATTCTAGAGAGAAAAATCGTTTCGTACGACACAGTGAAACAACTTTCTTAGCAGCAGACCTAGCAATGGATTCAATATAGTTTTTCCGCTTCATATCAGCTGAGAGCGTTAGCCTGAGAAGGCGCAACGAGTCACATTCCTGGAGGACAGTGAGGATTTTCAGCTACAGAACGGCAAATCTGTTTTTTTTTTTTACAACAGTGACAATATACCGGAATACCTAACGAGATCGAATTTCATAGCACTGCCTAAGAAACCAGGTGCGAACGGATGTGAACTCCATCGGACAATCAGCCTAATGAGCCTTATAACAAAGCTCATCATCCGAATTCTGATCAGAACAGAGATAGGACAAGAACGGTGCGGGTTCGTCAAAGACATTGGAACAAGGAATGCAATATTCATGCTCGGAATGCTATCAGAAAGAGCAATGTAGATGCAGAAGTACGTGCACCTGCGTTTTATAGATTGCGCAAAGGCGTTCGATAAAATGTTGGAACTGCTCAGCAACTTTGACATATTTGGGAAGGATGTTAGAATAATCAAGATCCTATACTGGCAACAGACCGTCTGCATACGGATAGAAACTTAGTTCAGCAGATATACAAAAATAGAGGCAATGATGTGTTTTCTCACCGAATTTATTCAATTTATACAGCGAGGCAATTCCAAGAGAATTAGATGCCCTACCAGGACATGCAGATATGCAGTTGACACAGCGTTGATAGTAGACAAGGAAAGAAATCTACAAAATCTCCTACAGGAGGTATTGAAGAAAAGCGAGAAGAAAGGACTAAAAGTCAACTGAAAGAAAACAGAATTCATAGTGTTTAGAAAAAAAAAAAAAGATGAGCCCAAAACGCAAATGATATATCGTAAAGAGCAAAATTAAACAAGTAAAAATTTAAGTATCTGGGAAATATTCTAACAGAAGACGGAAAGTGCAACAATGAAATCCAAAGGCGCATTGGGATGGCCAAAGATGGATTCGAAAAGCTAAGCAGAGTATTAAGAAACAGGAAAATTTTGTTGGAAACAAGGAAGAGTACTGAACTGTTACGTGATATCTGTCTTCCAGCATGGCAGCGAATCCCGGACAATCTCCTTAAATATGAAGAAGTCTCTTGAAGCAACAGAAATTTGGTTCTACAGAAAGATGCCGAGGATACCATGGACCAAATATGTGAGCAAAGACTCAGTTTTAGAGAAAATCGAAACAAAAAGGAAACTTAAAATCAGGAAGAGGCAGTTGAAATTTCTAGGGCACATAATAAGGAAGGAGGGCTTGGAAAATCTGATACTCACAGGACAGATTGGAGGTAAGAGAGACAAAAGAGAACAACGCACAACATACTTGATGAGCTTAAGTAAATGGATGGGGGAACAGGGTTTAGGAGAAATAAGAAAAAAATAAAATTTATTACAAATGAAAGGAAACTGTGGAGAGTCATGATCGCCAACGCCCCGAGTGGGCACGGCACGTAAAGAAGAAGAAAAAGAATTGTGAACAGTATAGTAGTTATCTGTAGGATCGGCTAATCCGGTTTAAACTCCAGCCTGGCCAGCTGTGTTCGCATTTGTGAGAAATACCCTGGTAATCTGGTGGGATCAACAGTTTGAACACGGTTAGTACGCCCAAACCCTCAGTCATGTCGAATTGTAACTTCATGCTAGCACAATTGTTGTATAGCCCTCTCGTTCTCGGGAGGTCTTGGTCGACGGCGTCAATTCGATAGTAAAGGCGCATTCTTCTCTCTCGGCCGGTGATCGCTAGTTGTTTTGAGACCAAAGATAAAAGGACTTCAACACATGGAATTTTAACTTACATTTTTATTAACCTTAATGTCGACATGTTCTATCTATCTATCTATCTATCTATCTATCTATCTATCTCTGTTCAGACCTATCTAAAGACAGTCGTACTTATTCATATGAGCCTCACCATACCTACCTATCTCAATCTGTTCTGATCTATCTATCTATCTATCTATCTATCTCTGTTCAGACCTTTCTAAAGGCAGTCATACTTATTCATATGAGCCTCATCATACCTACCTATCTCAATCTGTTCTGATCTATCTATCTATCTATCTAGTGGGGGTCGTTCCCCATCACTGGGGATCCGTTTCAGACACGAAAGAAAACACGTCTACATCATTTGATGGTTAAAGCTCGACTGTCTAAAATTTTTCTCCTATCTCCTTTCTCACGCTGGCTTAACCAATCAAAATCGACTACCTTATTTTGGCTTGCATCTGACCTCGAAGGTCAACCTCCGGAAGTCACAGCTGGGATACAATACCCCCTAAAATGAAAGTCTGCTAAACTATTAATTAACACAACTAGCGGACAGGTTTGTCTACAAAATTGTGCTTACAATGCTTGGGACAACTCGGGGTATGATTTCAGGATGGAAATGTATTTAAAAAAAAAAGTGAAATGCGAATGGTCAACTAACCAGAAGTAATAATGAAAGTAAAATGTAATTAATTTTTAATAAAAATTTTAAATTAACTTTTTATTTCATTAATTTTTATTTATTTAATCTTTAATTCATTAATTAATTATATATAATGATTTAATTAATTCATTTTTAATTTATTATTATAAAATGAAAAAAAATTAAATTTTTTAAATTAATTAAAAAATTATTTAATAAATTAATTTAATTAATTTTATTTAATTAATAATATTTTAAATTAATTTTTTATTAAAAAGTAATAAAAGCAGAAAGTGTAAAAATAGTGGGTAACTAAGCTGAAGTAAGTAAATGCTAAATGTAATCTCACCACAAGCCACAAGTTACCACAAAACCAAAACATCAACGTAAAATCACGAATCATGTTCTTAAATAGTATCATCAGAACGAGATTGGCTTACGGCCATATCACGTTGAACCACCGGTTACCATACGATCACAAAAGTTAAGCAACGTCGAGTCTGGTCAGTAACTAGAAGGGTAATAGATTGGGAATAGCAGGTACTGTTAGCTTAGATATGCGGGTGACATGATGGCTCGTATTTGTTAATCGGGGAGCCAAGTTCCAATTCCAGTTGAGTTCATTATATTCACGTACGTGCAAATACCCTTGGGATAGATATGAATCAACCTCTTCTCTCCCTAGCTATGGGTTAATTAGTTGGGTTTGTATCACTAACTAATATCTAAAAAAAATAAAATATTCTCTGCCTTTAAATAACCTGCAGAGGGTTGATAAGCCGTAAAAAATCAATCAATCAATAAAACCGATCGAGGCTTTCATATGGATGTCATGAATGGCATCAAACTCATTCCGAAATACCTAAACTGCTTTCTCAGACTGCTTGTTAAAATAGCCTCGAGTGACTGAATCGTGTAGATCTCAGCGAGGACAATCCTTCATCGAATATCCCGAGCAAATAACCGAAACCAAATCGCTTAAGCAGTTTCAGCAGTAGCAATAATTAAAAAAACTCGAAGAGAAAATAATGTCATAATCAAGATGTTGATGTTCCACACTATCTGAGGCAAAGAAGGGTGACGCTATCAATACCATACCGACGTATTATAAACTAATTTTATTTCATTTTCGACAATGTTTTTTCTTGTAGACGAAAATTCGGATTACTGATGGAATCTCCTCTCAGCGGTGTTTTACCTTGTCTTTTCTTAGAATTCTTACAGGTGGATTTATTTAAAGTTCACTTACTAGCTGAAGAAATTCAAAATGAATACGATATAATGTTAAAAAGAATATCTTAACACTTGTGGATTTTGTGGATGAACGCATGCGCAATTTTGTAGATGTGCGCAGGCGCAAAGGTGAGCTGATAAAAGCGATTATTGTGAATAAATCTTTTGTTATTTTCTGCTGTGTCATTTCTCATTGGTCACGTATCTTGTTGAAGTTACAACGCCTCAATGGTGAGAATATTCTCAGGGAGAACAAAAGAAAAAGGAAAAAAAAAAGAAAAAAGAACAGAAATTGAAAGTGCATATAATTCCAAGAAAGAAAGCAAATAGATGAAGGTGGAAAAGTAGTAAGGGAAGACAGAAAAGCAAGAAAATCTAAATTAAAAAAAAAAAAAAAAAATGAGGAATATGGCATGAGTGTGATTTGGCACGAGAATTTGACTTTGAGGAACTCATCGCGTATCTTGATTCAATGAAAGTTCGAAAAATGCACTTTTAAGCTGCTCTGGAACTGGTTTTAGTCTTCGTATTTTTTTTTTCAATAAAAATTTTCGACAGAGATACAGAAAAAGAGAAAAAATTATGGAAGGAAAAAGCGTGAAAGAGAGATAGGGACAAAAGTGAGGGAGTAAACAAAAAGTGAGAAAGAAAGATAAAAAACGGAATAGATAGATAGATAGATAGATAGATAGATAGATAGATAGAAGAGTAGTTCAAAAAGCTCTAAATTTCACACAAAAAGAAGAGCCATAACTGAACAATTTTGTTATGGCAGCACGTTGTCACTTGTTATAAACTAGAAAAACTAATTCTGATTTCTGTTTTCATTTCTGTCTTGATAGATAGATAGATAGATAGATAAGAGGGTCGCTCAAAAAATTCTAAGCCTCAGCCAGCAAAAAGAGCCATAGCTGAACATTTTTATTATGGCAAAACACTACCACTTCTTATAAAACTAGAAAAACTAATTCTCTTTTCTGTCTTAAATTTCGTCTTAATTTCTGTCCATGCACCTGTGAGAGATGCCCGACAAATCTAAAAATGGACAGTTATAAATTATCTGCAAAAGAAAATTATGATACCCAAAGAAATCAGCAACGAAGAAGTCTTAAAATGGTAAAAAAAAAAGAATACTCAGAATCAGTAAAAGACAAGATTTCTTAGACACATAATGAAGAAAGATTGATTGACTAATTTGTTTTTTTATGTTTAATCGAGCTTTCTCGGTTATTATTTAAAGCCATAAAATATAATTTTGGGGAGTGGGGGAGATCATAATGATTTACAGATAAAAGTTTTACTAATTAACTCCGATCGGCGGGAGGTGGATTCTTACTTTTCCCAAGGGTATTTGTGCGTAACTGAATATTATCGATTGGAATTGAAACTCGGCTTTTCGATTTCCAGTTCCGAGCATTTAACCATTACACCACCCGCACATTCAATGTTATACCATTTGGTATTCCCAAACGAACGAGACAGGTAGGGTTTGGAAAACTTAAGACTCACATGGCTTATCAAGGGTAAGAGAGGTTGATCTCGGCCTTTTTCTGTCGAACCACATCTCTGATGTTTGTCTCTTTCTAATTCTAAGTATGTGTACCTTTTTTTGTTTCCATTTTCTTTAAAACTTCCTCATTGCTCACATGCTCCGTCCACGGTATTCTCAGCCCTATTCTGTAGAACCACATCTCTGATGCGTGTCTCTTTCTAATTCTACGTATGTGTGTCCTTTTTGTTTCCATTTTTCCTTAAAACTTCCTATTTGCTCACATGCTCCGTCCATGGTATTCTCAAACCTCTTCTGTAGAATTGATGCTTGTCCCTTTCTAATTCTACAGATGTGTGTCCTTTTTGTTTCCATTTTTTTCTTAAAACTTCCTATTTGCTCACATGCTCCGTCCATGGTATTCTCAAACCTCTTCTGTAGAATTGATGCTTGTCCCTTTCTAATTCTACAGATGTGTGTCCTTTTTGTTTCCATTTTTTCTTTAAAACTTTTTGCTCACATGCTCCATTTTTTGGTATTTTAATTTTTTAGAATTGATGCTTGTCCTTTTGATGTGTGTCCTCACATTTTTTTCTTAAAAACTCCGTCCATGGTCCATTATTCTCAAACCTCTTCTGTAGAATTGATGCCCTTTCTAATTCTCCCTTTTTTTTCCATTTTTTTCTTAAAACTGTATTTGCTCACATGCTTTTTGTTTCAAACCTTTCTGTAAAATGCTTCCTTTTTAATCACAGATGTGTGTCCTTCCATTTTCTTTAAAACTTCCTATTTGCTCAAACCTCTTCCATGTATTCTCATTGATGCTTGTCCCTTTCTAATTCTACAGATGTGTGTCCTTTTTGTTTCCATTTTTTTCTTAAAACTTCCTATTTGCTCACATGCTCCGTCCATGGTATTCTCATCATCCTTACGTAAAACCACATCTCTGTTGTCTCAAGTCTCTTCTTCATCTGTGAGGGAAATGTCCAGCATTCTTTGTTGTATAGTAAAGTTTATATTATATCGCAGATGAGTATTGTTTTCTTTGTTTCTTACGGAATTTTTCTTTTCTTTTTTTTTCTTTTGCTTTCTTTGGCTATTGGAGAGAGCAACTTTCGATATTCTTATGCATCACCCCATTTCGGTGTCCGCAATTTTTGTACTCTGTTAAAACACTTCCCAGATATTTAAAGTACCGTACTTGCTTAATACTATCAGCTCCAATTCGTAACTCGCATCTCAGGTTGTTCCCCCCCCCACCAACCTTTGCTTCTGTCATCTTACAATTGATGGATGGTCCTTTATGAACTTGTGCAGAAGTTCCTGAAATTTTCTTTCTGTCTCTGACAACAACAACGACATGCCATCTGCTTATATTAAGTTGTTAAGTTTGTGTCCACCAAAAATAAATCTTTTTTTTTTCTTAATCTTTTCGCTTCAAGCAAGGCAGACATGCCACCAGTACGCAGGTGGATACAGGGATTGAAAGTGAGAGAAAAGACTCAATATAAGGAGAATTGAGGAAAAAGACAAAAGATGAACAAGACGGTCATTAACCTTTAAATAATTCATCCGATGAAGTGACATTTTTTCATGTATAAATCAGAGAAGGGAAGACCAAGAACACACACACACACACACACATAGTACGCAGGTGGATACAGAGATTGAAAGTGAGATAAAAGATTGAATACACGGAGGATTGAGGAAAGATGAACGCAATTTAAGAAGATAGAAGATTGCGATTGACGTTGCATTTAAATTTTTGAAGATCGTAGTTATCAAGAAAACAAGTAAAAATATTCAACAGAGATATGCAAAGAAGCTGTAAAAAAAAAAAAAAAAAAAAACGAAACAGGCGACTAATTTGGAATAACTATGTCACATTTCCAGAAAAGATAGAAATATCCCAACAAACAATGAATATTTTGGCATTTTCTACAATTTTTACGAGGGTCATTAACCTTCAAATAATTCATCCGATGAAGTGACATTTTTTTGCGATATAAATCAGACAAGGGAAGACCAAAACAACTCATATATATATATATATATATATATATATATATATATATATATCATCCATAGATAGACAGTTTTATCATCCACAGACAGTACAGTTTCACATCGATTCGATTCAGTGTAATAGACATCGGATAACTTCAAACCGGATCGAAACCCGACCGATTTGGTATCAGTAAAGAGAGGAAGGGAATTATATATATATATATTATATATATATATCATTAAATTGCAATACACGGAAAGTTATCAGTTAGTATGAACGGATTTATTAAAAATAAGCAGACATAATGTCTCCAATTTATTTAATAAGATATGACTACCTCTCTAATATATATATATATATATATATATATATATATATATATATATATATATATATATTTTTGTTAATCATTTCCTCCAAGAAAATTGGTAATGTCACCAGTACGCAGGTGGATACAGGGATTGAAAGTGAGAGAAAAGATTCAATATAGGGAGGATTGAGGAAAACAGAAAAGATAAACGGGATTTAAGAAGATTAAAGACGGCGACTGACGTTGAATTTACATTTTTGAAGACTGTAGTTATCATGGAAGGCAGTTTATGGAAGGGAGTTCTACAGGTGTGAGGTGCGAGAAAAGAAACTGTTGGCGTAGTAATGGCGGTTGCATTTAGCTATTTCAACTGTAAATGGGTGAGACCGAGATAGCAATCTAGTAGGACGCTTAAATTGATGTCGTCGGGACACCAGGGAGAGGGGGGTGGAGCTCGTCAGAGCAGCTGCTATGAAAATATTTGTAGAAAAGACAGAGGGAATCCACTC